TTTTCAATTAAAAAAAAAACTAACTTTGTGTCCGCTTGATTTACATTAGCATGGATTATTATTTTTTATATTGTCTTTTTAAAACTACAAGTATTAATTAAAAATGTAAAACAATGTTTTAGGCAAGAGCTTAAATGAGCCATGTGTGTTAAGAGTTACTTATAACAGTTTTTATGGTGAATGACAAACACTTGTGAGCAGAGGATTGAACCATGTCAGAAGGAACAGCAAAGAACACTACTTTTATTATAAGGATTTAGTGTATATTAACATGGAATAAACACCATTTGGACAAAAATGAATACTGTTAAATCTGGTGAGTTCATAGATAAGCTACAGAGTCGGAACTTACCACCAGTAGCCACTGACCAGGGTGAGGGTCACCGTCCATCAAGCTGGGGGAGAAATTTAGGGAAACATCCGCTCAAACCTAATGAAAACAATTTTTGATATTTCACTCGAACACAGCCCCAGTTTGAGCAGGCACAGGATTTCTGCAGTCAAGGAAAGACAACATTAAAACAAGTCATTAAAGTCATCAAGCAATGCATTTAAAAAGTAGTAATAATACTAAATAACTCAAATTAACTCTCACCACAGGCTTACGGGATGAGGAGCAGTGTGGTTTATACAGCCTGGGAATTTGCTTTATATATATATACAAATATACATACACATATATAGGAAACATAATGAGCTACACCTGGTGCCTATTGGGGCCTAATCAGGCTTAAGGTGGACTGATCTTTAAGGCGGACCAGCAAACACCCTTTGACACCCTAATTGAAAACATGAAGGTTACAGTAAAAATGTACAATTTCACATATTAAATGTGTGTTTTTACAGAAAAGCAGTACAGCCTACATTGCAGTAGGCCTACAGGGAATTAGAGGTGTATTGTTTCACCAGGTGGCACCAGAGTATTTGTTAACAGAAGATAAGGGATCCAATTTGTCAGGCCTTCAGATCTGATTGCTGCCAATTACAGCAATCATCATTAGTCAAATGTATTTATTATGTAGTAGAAGTAGTAGTATTTGTAATACTTAGCAGCTGTTGTTGTAGTTGTTTTGGTACTTCAAACAACATTAATTACTGTAGGTTCACTTCACTAAAACAGCAGCCAACACAACACATGGCATTTAAAATGAAACTAAATGATAAATGTCTTTAGTTTGGAAAGAAACAAGTTCAGGGGAATCAGTGGGCTACAATTCATGACACATATTAACACATTGTTGGTGTGAGTTTGGGTCACACTTTCTGATGCGTCACATCCATTCTCTGTTCGACTTCCTGTCTCTCTGTGATGGATGTTTGAAAGAAAGAATGGACACAACGATATAACAGAAACTCATACCCGGTGTTTACTGTCTATAAAATAATGCAGTAATTTATATGAAATTCTTTGGTTGATGCTTTCGCCCACATAGTGACAAACAAACTATGACACATGGAAAATTCAGCAGCAGTGTGGCTGTGTGTCAAAATTAGGTGTGAATCTATAAGGTCTATTCTGTTTCTTGTCAAGCTTTTAGTTTTAGTTTCAGAGCAGAGGCCAACACTTTTAAACTTTTTGACAATAGCAGCTTGCAGGAACGGACACACACAGGCACAGGCACATACCAAGGCAGTGATACCACAGAGTGTTTCCACTGCAGTAGTTGGGGGATGTGGTTTTCTTCTTTTTTAGTTGTTGAGAAGAGGAAGAGTGCTGCTCAGTCACTGGTCCCACCTACATCTTTGTGGCAGCTGCTGCTCAGACGCCTTTTCCTTTGACCCGTAGGTTGATCTTTACTCAACCCTCAGCTTTTTTTCTGTAAAAATGACACCTGCTAGCCTTACTGTTTTTGCGGGTTATATTTTAATCTCACCAAATAAAACAGTAGAACTACTACTTAAACCAAGTATTACTTGGTTTAAGTATTATTTAGATATTAGTATTATTATTGAACTTGCAGTAATAATATGAAAAACTGTATGAGTATAAAGAGGAAGACTATAGAGGAAGATCTTAAGTATCAAGCACAACCTTTTATTATTAAAGTACTATAATATTAATAATATGTGATAGTCGTTTTCAGGCGTGCTAGTGTGGACGGAAAACGATGCTGAAACGCCAGTGTGGACGGAGATTGTTTTAATTTTAAGCAAAACCCGTTTCAAAACAAAAACTTATTAGTGTGGATGTAGTCTTTATTTAACCTCAAATTCAGGACATTGTTCCCATTGAAATTTTTTTTTTAATACCAACTATGGTTATAAAAAAACATACAATCTACTATTTAAGAACAATTCTGGTTACATGCGGTCGAGTGGTTACTCTCTAGACATTGATTTGACTAAACGAGTGCACATCCAGGACAGCAGAATCCCAAACTATCACGTTAACGGTTTTTGCTATATTTACCCCACGGAGGCTTCTTGTACCCTAGATACATATCCTGTTGATGCTCAAGTACATTCTGAGTAAACATGCTTTGCGGTCTGTCAAAGCAGAGAAATGGCTAGCCACAGCCTACTGTTCAGCCGCTGTGTGTGGCTTTGCTCGTTTCACAGACATTGACATGCAAATAGGACCACTGCAGTGCTTTGAAATAAACAAGGTAAAAGACCAGTGTTGAATAAAACAAACTATTTTTGAGAAGCTACATATGACACATCCATATTTAGCATTTCAGAAACTATTTCAAATGCTCTTTTTGTTCCCATCTAGATATTTAAGCTCTCTGCAGTAATCTAATGCAACTATTGTAAACCATTAATCTCTTTTATGAAAACAAATCGGTGTGAAATCTGGTAAAACTCTGTGATATTTGTATCTTTAGAGGAAAGACAGATTTAAGTAAGTTACTTCAGCTCTATTTCTGTAACATGTAGACAGAGTCTTGCATGCCACTTAGTTCCTGAGATGAGAAGATGACATACAGTATCTCCTCTGAAGTGGTAAATCCCACCAACGGACACATATACAGCAAGCTTTTATCATCAAAGCACAAAGATGGCAACCTGATGTGGATTTAGGTGTGAGGAGAAACTGTTATCACAAGTCTCTGTGTTCATTGCCTGCTCTCTCATTCAAAAGCCTCAACACAAACATGATTCTAACATTATTTAATGTCCTCTGGGGAAATGTGATTAAATCCTACAGGGATACAATTGTATTTAGACTACATGTGATGCAATGTTTGAGTTGTACTAAACTTAAATATTAATACAGGAAGAGTATCTGTGACATATTCCCCAGAGTAGTAGTAATTTTAGCAACTATTTTATAAGATTAACACATTTAACCAAAATCACATCAAGATAATGGACTACAAGATGATAAAGAACCAAATAACATAGGCTGTGTTAAACATAGGCTTTCTTAGGTTACTCTGATGATGATGGGAAAAGAGCACTTGCCCACCAAAACAGTGTCTTGTATTCTGTTTTCTGTTGGTTTTCTGCTGGATGAGCATTGCATTGTTGTTTGTGGGCAGGAAGCCAATGAGGTATCATGTTCTTGTCACTGCAACCTTCAGGTTACATTAAGTTGGAAATAGTACTTTTAGGTTGTTGCTAATCAAGCTGGATTTAACTTATTTTACTTACTTTGGCTTATAATTTAATTTATATCCCTGCACTATAATTTATTAGATGATCAAATGTTTGTAAAATCTTAATCTGGAAAGTAAGTAACGGTAGCCATCAGATAAATGAGCTATAAAATAACATGACATCTCAAAATTATACTTGGTAAATGGATGGGAAATGGACTTGTACTTGTATAGCACCACTCAAAGCGCTTTAACATTACATGTCATTCACTCATTCACACCCATTCATACAGTGATCGCAGAGGCTACCATGCAAGGTGCCACCTGCCCAACCGTCACAGCCGTACTTAAGTATAATACTTAAGTGAATGTAATTGCTTTCCACCACTAGCGTTCAGCAGCCCTGCATTGTCCTGATGTAAAAGAGTCCACTGCAGCAGCTAAAAGTTCAGAGCATTTCTGTGGACGAGCAGAGCGTTACTCTAAGTGTCAAAGGTTACGATATTCAGAGCATTAATAAAGCAGCAAATAACTATTCACTATGTAAAGATATGGTGGAGTAATGTCTACCTGAGCACAGAATGTTGACATAGCTGGGCCGCTCGTGTCATTTAGTGCATGTCAGTGCGTGCTAATTCATGACCGTCGCTCTGAACTGTTTTCATGCGGCGGTTACAGCCGATAACGCAATCCCGATCGACAGCGTCATCATGGAGGCGCAGCACCGTTAGCATCGTTAGCTGTGAGCCGCTGGCTCATCCGTCGCCATGTTGAGGGCCGTTGAGATACAATACAAATGCTCTGAATTTTGAATTCAGCTATTTTAAACACACATTTCTTCCAGGCGGCTTTGTGCTTTTCCCCCTGAACTCTACAAACCAATCAGACTGACCCAGAAAAACCTCAACATCTGAAGAATGTGTCGACGTACACCAAATTATTTTTTAATATAATACACAAATTAAATTATTATGAGTACTACTATCAATATCCTGTCTTTAATTTTACAGTTTTCCCTTTGCTTTGATACTACTCTATGACTTTGTAGGATTCGTAATGATTGTTATGCATTAATAATACAAGATTAATACAAGCAGTCTCTAATGTCTACAACTCCAGGATATTTCTCTTTTGCCAAATTTATATCTCAGTTCTGTTCTTGGTCAAGTAGAGTTCTGTCTAAATCATAATAAAGTCATCCCTGTGTAGTTATAACATCACAAAATGGACATCATAGAAAAATAAAAAATTGTTTTCAATAGTTGTATCTGTATTTATGTATGATTGTATCATACATAATGAAGGAAATATAACTGTGTGCCTTACATTCACTGAAAAAGGGTCAGAGGCTAGCAAAATTGAACAGGAAGTGCATTTTCTATGCTTCAGCCAATCAGTAGGATTTCCACTTTGTTAACCTTGATCACCTTGTGACTAAATCTTCCATTGTGAGACGACATCAGTTGTGTAGGAGAAGGGCTCTGTATCACCATGATCAGAAGACTGGCTGCTTTGATTCTTCTCAGTACATTGTGTGAGTGTAACTTTACTTTTATATTTTAAAATGAGTTCTAAAATACAGTTAGTTTTATGTAAAAATACAACAAAACATTGGGTATTTTTGTCTTGATGTATTTTATTTTTGTGTATGCAATTGTATTGTATAGTAGGTACTATTTGTACTTCATTGTCTTCTGTTCGTATTCCCTATTCTGTCCTTGTAACTGTTTTGTCCTTTTTCTTCAGCCTTGGTTCAAACTGCAGATCTTCCTCACCAGGTCTCTTGGACTGTGCTTGAACTTGGTGATAATTTTACTCTGTCATGTACATTCAATGAAAAGGAAGTCGGGTTGTTTTTCTGGTATAAGCTGAAGTTTGGCTATATGGTCCAAACTGTTGCAGAAGGAACTTATAACAAAATATCACTTCAAGAACAATTTGACAAGTCAAGATTCTCAGTCACAAAAGTGAACGCTCAGTATGTTCTTGACATCAGAAATGTAAGCAAAGAAGATGAAGCAACATACTTCTGTCAAGCAGGAGCGGCATACAGAATGAAAATCATAAATGGAACACTTCTGGCTGTGAATGGTAAAGTATGTTCATTTCAGTGTTTTTTCTTGCTGCTTTGTCAAACAATCCACATGTTAACTGCCTTTTTGTGAATCACACAGACTTTAAAAATCAGAGATCTATCTACGTGAAACAAAGTCCGGAGACTGAGTCGGTCCAGCCGGGCGACTCAGTGACTCTCCAGTGTTCACTTCTCTCCATGAACAAAGAAAACAGAGTCCAGTGTCCAGGTGAACACAGTGTGCACTGGTTCAGATCCGGATCAGGAAAATCATCTCCAGGCATCATTTACACTCATAATGATGAACAAGAAGAAAGAAGTTGTGTCTACAGTCTGTCCAAAACTATACAGAACTCCTCTGATGCTGGGACTTACTACTGTGCTGTGGCCACATGTGGAGAGATCCTGTTTGGTGAAGGAACCAAAGTGGAGACAAGTACGTTTTAAAGTCTTATTTAAATTATAATGCATCAATACTGATTATTATTCTGTTGCAATCTAAGTACAGTGCTGATAAGAGACACAAAAACATTATTTTGCTCCTTAAAGTTATACTTGCTGTTAGGACTTTGCCTTTCTTTCTTGTAAAATACTGAACAGTTTTACCTCTTCAGGCCTCTAAAAATGATTTAGATTAGATCAGCTGGAAGTGCTCACAGTAATAAATATTGTATGTACCACTAAATGAGGGGTGGAGAGTTGAATTTGTGTTTCAAAGGGCCACAAACCCCGATGGTTGAAAACCACTGAAATAGTTCATTCTATTTACAGGCTACTTGCGGTGGACTTATTGCGGCAACACATGCTAAGTGCATGTCTAGTGCAGCTGGGGTCCTCCGCTACTCTTCCTCTCTTTTGTTAGTTGTGTGTGTGTGTTTTCTCTCCAGTTCCTGCAGTCCTCTTTCTCCCATCGTGGCCTCTCTGCCGCTCTCCTGTGTGCTTTATATGATCATTTTTGTTGTGATGTGTGTCAGTGACTGCAACCTTTCTCTTTATCTGAATTATTGCAATAATACAAGTCTGGTAAATTCGGGTCGTCCTTTAACCACAAGGTTGGTGTATCTATCCCTGGCTCCTATTGTCCGCATATGAGTGTGCTTTACAGCAGCCCACTGCTTTTAATGCTTAAAATGGGTACATTTGTTTTTTACCTGTATGTTTATGACAAAGTTAAGCCGTCCAAATATAGCTTTTTTTTGTATCCACCCACTCGGTAGGTTTTTCTTTCTGGCTGAAATTACAATGGCAGTGTGGGTGAAGAGAGACATAACAGTGTTCCTGTGAGATTATTGATTAAGTTGATTTATTTATGTTTTGTATTTTTAATAATTTATTTTCTTAAATTGTTTGGTTAATTGTGTTAGTTTAGTCTTAAATCCTGAACTCTGTGAAGGTCAAGCCAGACAAAAACAGAAACTAAACAAGACTAGGTCCGTGCTAGCAACTTTGTAAGGCTGTACTTTCCACATGAGCTACAAAGGCGAAAAGTAGCATTTGTCGAATGGACAAAAGGTTCCTGGTGCTGTGGAACAATGACTTGGTTTTGCTTTTCGTTTTTCCTGTTATAGACAAAAATGTCTGGTAAGGCAAACAAGAGCTTATACCTAAAAGACAAATTAGGTACAATAGATGAGCGCTATCTGTATGAAACTACCTTCGGAGTTCACAGTCAGTAATGAAGACAACTGTTATCAATTAATAACGGTGTTAAAGTATTAACATTTTAGTTATTATTTTAGTGTTTTTTGAATTGTCTCTTTGGGATTTCTTTCCTCCTTCCAGGACCAGAACTGTACACACTCCTCATTGTGGTTGGGACGCTGCTGGGCTGCTGTGTAATTGTGATTGCAGCTCTACTTATCTCCAGAAATCAAAAGCCAGTTTATAAAGATTGCAAAGGTAGGTTCATCGTGAGTGTGTGGATTATTTGATACATTATCTAATTTAGGTGCCAGCACTGATATTTTTTCAACCAGTTTCTCCAGTAATTTCAATGGTTTTGAAATGTAACCACAATCTTATGTCATCAGTTAGTTGGTAGTCCTGAGATTAAAGACATTAAAGTGAAATGACAAAAATAACTTTATTGTTTTTAATGTCTTGCTTTCATTAACAGGAGAAGCTTCCAATCATGTTCAACATGACAGATCAGCTGAGGATCAACCAAGCAATGTAGTAAATATCATTTAAATATAATTTGATTAATGAACACTTACTGAATCAGATGGTTATTCTGCACTGGAATGCTGATTTACAGGATAAAAACACACAGAACACGTCAAAAACTTTCTTCAAAGTTCAATTGACCTCTGAGCTTGCAGGGGTGTAAAATGTGTAATATGTTGGTGCTTGTCAGCTTGTTATTTTTACAATGAAACACTACACTAACTGCTTTAAAACATTGTTTTCAATAATTTGGTTAATATATAAGTCAGCGATCTTTTAATGGTTAATATTAAATCCAGTATAAATTGGTTCTGGTCTTACAGCTCAAACATCTAACGATCATAATTATCATCTGCAGGATGGTGAAGCAGCAGTGAACTATATAGTGCTGGATTTCCCCTCAAGAGGTGCTAGAAGATGGAAGAATAACAGGGAGTTACCACAGGAGTGTCTGTACTCTGGCACAAGAGACCCTGAGTGAAGTGAAGTCACCAAGAAGAATGAACATCTTCATAGAATGCTGCAGGAAGGAGTCCTAAAACCCGGGAATGAGATCATCTTAGAATAGAGACGGCATTTATGTTTTGTGATTTTGTCTGGATGAACCAAGAATATGTATTTATCATTATTCATAATATAATTTTGCTTCAGTATTATTTGTGAGATTACTCAAAATTTGAATGAAAAAAAGAATGTGAAAAAACACGTATTGCCTTTAAAGAGAAAATCCAAATGTTCTTTACATTGTGATATTAGACATTTTTGTCTCTCATAATATGTTTTGTTTGATAAAAACACCTGCTGTACAAATCAATTTTTTTCAGTTCGACACAATGTGTGGTTTAAAGTTGCTAGACCTGCAAAAAGCTTTTGACGCATATCTATTTGATTAGAGTCTTGAATCAAAGACTGTTGGCTGGATGGCACCACTCTTACTGTAGCTTGCTGAAGTCTTATTTATTAGGAAGAAAAGTATCAGAAAGTAGAAGTTAGTGGATGCTATGCCCATGAAGTGGAAATGGGAGAAATGTCGCTATGTATTAGGGTCAATAGATCACATCCAACACAATGGGAACACAATGAGTCCAATTTTGGTGAATAGGGAAGTCAAAAGCACAAAGTGTAGTATAGTATCCATCAGCAGAACTTCCCTGTAGATGTCAACAACAACAATTTATTTTCTTCGACTTCCTGCACCTGTAGGTTTTGCTTTGTCAGCATGTCTAACAGGCAAAAACTTCTATCGTGGCAGAAGTTCATAACATGAAGTCTGTCTGGTCCATTTCAGTAATTTCATTCCAGAGGTGGCTTCTCAGATCCGTGTCCTAGGAATACATTGGTATCAACTGAGGTAGACCTCCGTCTGAGGAAGCTTCCAGGTTGGGGAGGGAAGACATTCAAAACTTGGTTAGCTGAGAGTACTCCGGCTAAAGAGCTCCAGCGGGGAGAGCGGGGGTCCGTTGCAACAGTGACCTTTTAGCCAGTAAAAAAGCAACTATGCCTAAACCATTCACCATGCTCATACTCAGCCACACCCTCTTCACGTTCAACCTCAAAGTGTAGACCTTCTGACTATTCCTCATATTGTTTTCACAGTTTTGAAATCTACAGTGTGTAAGTACATTTTTGGCTCTATGGTATTTTTCTTCCACCATACCCATTTTCGTTACGCCACAAACATATTGTTGTTTGTTGGTATCTAGCACAGGAGTCCAAAGTGTGTCTGCTCTCCCTGGGCTGAAAATAGAATCATTTTACAAATGTTTCCTTTTCGGAAATAAATGTATGAGCAAGTGACATTGTTATTATAAGGTGTTTAAATTTAGACTGCATTTTAAAAACATTTTTTTTAGCCCACAACAAGGTGTCCTAAAACGACCCTACCCACACAGGATTTGGGGGAAATGCACTCCTTGTTCATTTCACAAAATTGTGCCTTTCACATTTGGGTTTGGCTCTAAGAAACCTGCTAAATTGTTAGCAGACACTTATACGTATCGTTTCAGGGATCAAATCATCTTCATTACTGTTCACGTAGTCTGTGTGTAACGGAAGGTTATTTTGGGTCGATACAAAAGGGTCCCAACCGACCCCTCTCTCCCGTCTCCTCACTATGGAAATCTAGCACTTCAGATTTTTGTTGTTTTGAGTATTTGTATGTCACATCATGACCAGTCCCTGAGTATAAACTAAAACTGTGGTGGAAATATCCATGTTAAAATGAATTAAGAATGCCAAAAGAAAAAAAATTCCATCAGCTTGATATTATTGAAATTCAGCCCATCGCCATCTTAACTTGCAGGCCACCAACAGTTACTTCAGTTTCACTTCTATTAAATCTATTAGTCATACCCAGAGGGGGATTTCTTTAAAATGTGCAGTATGCCCATAAATCTGGATTGTATGTGTTAACAGATCAGCATGTTTCATTAGTAACACTAGAATTAGTAAAAATTATAAAAGTACTGTCATATATTGTTATTTGAGTCTACTGGGTTATTTCTTTTAACAGCTGTTTCTACCATGTTGTTCTCATTTTTTTAAGACAGTCAACCAGTGAGTCACACGGAAAAATACTGTATTAAAGGTTAAATGTCAAAGCGTTAATTTCACTGTCAGTTTGCTATCTCTTCTTATGTATGTATTTATTAAGAAGGAAGCAGCATATCAACACAACCACTAATTCCTATTAGTTTAATATTTACATATAGTGTCGCACAGAAAGTAGGCTATGTGCTGTAGATGTGGGTGATAAATGAATAGATTTAAAAGTACATGATATACAAAGGGACAGATAGAAACATTTTCTCAGAGTTCACAACTTTAATAACAACTCACAATGAAACAAACGCTTATAGATATGGGATCATTAGAGCACATGTATATTGCCCAAAGCTTAGCTGTTATACTGTTTTTACAAAACAGACACATAATATCAAATTAAATACAATACATGCTTTTTTAAGTCACCCAAAATAAATAATTCTTTAATAATTTAAGAGGTGAAATGAACTCCCCACAGGGTGCAGACATAAAATCCAGTGTTCGGACTGTTAATCCAACCCCTGCAACCTGACATCAGTGTAGATACTCTCTTCTTCCACTGTTTTTGAATTCTTTGACCTTCCTGTTCTAGCTTTCCTACCGGAGAAGGTTGCTGAAGAATAAACCAATAAATCCTCATCTGTCTGAAAAAAAATATATGGAGAAATGTTATGAGATGACAACATTAATACAATAAGGGAAAGATATATGCTGACACCTTTACAGCTTCATCTTTTCTTTTTTTACCTGCTGACTCTGCTGATGACCACTGGCCGTCTCAACATTTGTTTTCAAGACAACAGCGGCTGTAATATAAAATAAAAATACCAGCATTAATGTGAATCCAGTTTTGCCAAATACGGTTTGATAGCTAGATGTACAACTGACTTTGCTTACCTTTACAAACACCACAAGATTGTTTCTTGAGTTTCTTGATTGAATAAATAAGAATGGCAATAACGATCAGACTTGTAGCCA